ACGGAACAAGAGCGCAAGGAGTACCTGCCTCTCTGCAAACTCATACGGGCCTCCCGAAGACACGTTCGACTCGGCCAGTACAGCTTAAATACAGACTCGGACTATCACATCCTATACCAACAACTCGTCCTTCCCTGCCAGGCATTGGAACTGTGTCCATCGTACGTCGGCTCATGGATTGCAGACTACAACGACCATCAATTCAACCCTACGAAACGTCTCGCAACTTACCTTTACGATGACTGCGCGCGTATACGAGTATTCGGCCATACATTGCCATTTCCGGTCGTGTGGTACTCTGCAATTTTGCAGACGAAGCTCACTGCTGACGACGTCTTCGTCGAAGACTTCCCGCCGAATGAAAGGACTCAGTTGCTTCTGGGTTCCGCCATAGCACGCTTTGGAGGCAAGCACTTTCGCTTTCGAAGACTTCGACCTCAGAGGAGGATATTACATTCTAAGCTGGGAATGGAAGAACTTCTCAGACTTGTCCTGAGGTACGACGATGCGAGGCATGAGGTGGGTTGGTTGAGATAACATCACGAGCGACGTGGTGGCTCAGCCAGAGAGTCAGACAATGTGCTTGTACCCAATGTTGCGCAATTAACAAGGATGGTCTGCGCAATCATGCGGAACAAACCAGAAGAATAGCGATGGTATAAGCAGCCTTTCGTCTACCCGAGGGGAGGCACTGGCTTAGCTCGATTCTGACCCAATGTCTCGAATGTGGCGGACCCCTACTCCTAGCCCCGTAAGGTCTTCTACGCCACCAAACACTACGACTCCAACACCAGTCTCGATACTACCTCCAATACAACATACATATGTCCTTCTCCGCCTCTCAACACAAGAATACGCCGGCTGTCACGGCAGTCAAAACATCATAGCCTCAGAACCGGAAGCACTCCACGTAACACCATCCTATCACGTAGCTTGTCAACTTCTCCAGCTACATAAAAGGAATACGACGGATTTTCGCAATGACTATGCATATTGTCGAATTTCCTACATGTACTCTCCCCCACCCTCTTCCGAAGTCGAAGGTTGCGACATCACCCTTGTGAGCCGGTTCACGGATGCGCCAAAAACGATTGTACGCTTTCGAATCCAAAGGGTAGAAGTAGTGCGTGAAGTGGACGCCTTTGGGCGCAGAGTATAGCGAAGACACTCGGAATCCCACACGAAAGAAGCGCACGAGCTTCGTATAGGCTCTTTCGGGCGAGCGATGTTGCCAAGGAAGTTAGTAGATGGTCTGCTGACGGTGGTGCGTGAGGGAAGTGGCTGTGCGTAGATAGTGCAAGCATGTATGTGTCAATATCAGTTGTATGATTGCGTTAGAGTTGCCAGACGCCTACAAAGACGCTGTTCAGTGCGTTTCAACATCCAAACCGACGTGTGTATTCCAGGGCTGACTTTGCGCGTGGAATCCTGAACATGATTTGACTATCTAGATCACAAATGGATGTGGTAGCAACTCCTCTCGGACGATGTGCTCATTGACCTCATAGCCCCGAATAAGGCTACCCGAGACATCATCGGTAAGGCGTTGACGGAGGTGCGCGTCAGAACAGAGTTCAGACAGCTGGGGCGAGTTACAAGCGTCAAGCATTTTTCCACGTCGTACATATCAGTGCATCCAAGGGTACTTTTCGCTGCGCCGTCGTCGACTATACTTTCATGGAAAGTGCAAGAGATGTCACATACGCGCCAAGAGAACACGGCCAAGATCTCTAGCAAAAAGGACCTGGCAATATGAACCTGGAAGAATTGTGATTTGGACTTCTGTGATGGTCAGTTTGAAAGGAAGCATTTGCAGAAGAGATGGGCGTACCTTGGGTACAAGATGGACTATGCTACCACATATCAAGGTACCGGGCTATAGGCTCGCGTTTCTCGTTGCTTCTAGATCTCTGAACCGCTATCGAGTCACTCTACGAGGAAGCTCGTGTTTCGTTAGGAGGGCGCCTGACATAGGATGCCCTAGAGGTACTCGGTGTGTTGTATGTTAGCAGATGTTAATATTGGCTACATCGAATACCTTCCGGGTGAGTCGTGTCGCTACATAACACTAGTACGCAAATTCAGAATTCTGGTAATCATCGCTCATAAAGGCAGTAATACGCTGCCAAATTCTGTGCGTCCCAAGCACGGAGAGTTCTTCAGCTGATGCGGCTCATCTATCGCGTTGACTGCGTTCGTGCGAGGGTATGGCTGAGAGTGGCATCTTCTCCCAAGAAGGCATCACAAGAATATGGTAGCATACTCACGAAGGCTGATGCTGGGCTTTACGGCCTTCTGTACTAGCTCGATCATCAAGCTCGCCAAGTATTCCGAAGACATCCAGGCTCACTTTATACCTAGGTAGCTCAATCTTTCCGAGTGCACTCACGAGATCAAGTCGGGCCGTTGGATAGGTAGAGTAGCGTTTTCATTGTTCCTGATGCTAGTTTGTCATCATGTCAATGGTCTATACTCTAATCAGTGTCGCGAAGGACGACAGGCTCATGTATCAATTCAGTATCCTCATTCGCGATGACCCTGTAGTCGGCAAGCCCACCTGTAATCTGATATTTTCTTGTGTGCTTTCGGAAATATCTCACTGCTAACTATGAAGATGAAGGATGAGCAGTGAATGGCAGAAGCTTCCGGCGATGCACGTGATATCGCGCCCGCCCACAGTCCGTGCCCGTCGCGCCTTCCTCGCAATATTGACCCCACAAACAAAGCCTGATCTGCCAAATTACCTCACAGAACGAAGACGGTGACTGCCAGTCGCTATCTCACCAGTGATGGCGCGCGGAAGACGCGCTAAGGCCGCCGCCTATCACTGTGCGATATGTGAGCAGTCCTTCTCCAGCAAAGCTGAGCTCAACCACCACACTGCCAATCACGACGACACCAGCACTGCGAAGCTGGTGTGCGCCACCTGCGGCTGGTATTTCGACGATTCGCACGCCCTCGAGCTCCATCAGATACAGAGCAGTCACGTACCTCCCCAACCAGCATCTACGAACTTGACAACGGCGCTTACCCCGTCGATCGACGAAATGGCGGTTCACTGCGATCGTTGCCAGAAGCAGTTCGTTACTCAGAAGCAATTCAGTAATCATCGCAGCAACATGGCGAGTGCGTGCGCCGACTGGAAGCACCCCACAACAAGGCCGCAGCCACCGACACCCGCTGTAGTTGCCCCGGGGTACGTTGACCTCGACAGACCCAACGACGAGCCATCTGTAGTCCCCAACTACGATGATGGCGCATCATCATCATCTGACTCCGTCGATAGCGATGTCGGCATCAAGTGCAACGACTGCAAGCGCACCTTCCGCTCCCTGGGCCACTACAACAACCACATGCTAGGTTGCACTCCTGTATCGACGACCACACAAGTCCGCGAGGTGCTCCCGGTTACCGGGTTGGGTAGCTCTCCAGTCACCATAAACCAGATGAGGGCTGCAAACGCACCTGTACTGGCACCCCGAGCCCCGATTTCGTCTAATGTATCCTCCACGCATACCAGCAATCCGGCCGCTTTTGCATGCGATACCCGTGGTTGTGATCGTTCCTTCAGGTCCGAAGCCGGCCTCAAACAGCACAAGCAGGACGCTCACGGTGTCGGAGGTCAGGCATTGAACTTGGCCGGCCGCGACTCATGGATGCTCAGCAATCGCGAGCGAGAACGAATGCGGCAAGAAGGTTTGCTTCAACAAACTCCTTCCTCTCGAGGTCGTGGCGGCCAAGCAGGTCGTCCAGCCCCTCGTGGAGCACCTCCCCGTACTTGGGGGGCTCTCTCTTCAACCAGACCATCCGTGCAGCAACAGCAATCTGCCTTCGCTCGTCCAATGCCGCAGCAACCTCGCTTGCCAGTCCAACAACCTCCTCCTGCCCCCAACAGCATCAACATGGGCGGCATTGCGGAGCTTGACCAGGCCAAATCTATTCAGGCGAAGACACAACGCTTGCTCATCCAATCAGATGTCTTCATTCTACACGATGGAAAGGTCAACGCCTGCGATATTATGTGGACTCGGATCGGTGCCGCTAAACAGTACGACGTGGTTACGATGCTCGACGGCCTGTGCCATCTCCCAAAAATGCTACAAGGCGAATACATACCTCCTCCAAAGGCATTGAAAGAAGATTACAAGGCCACGTATCTGTCAAGCGACTTCAAAGCCTCCCCCGAACGCAACATGGCCAAACCAGGCCTTGGCGCAGTCGCCATCTCATGCAGCAAAATCCTGCTAGCAAACGGCTGCCCCGAGGTTGTCAAGATAGCAGCTGTTGATCTGATCACCTGCCGAATCCTTATGAACCACCTTGTCTGTACTGATCCGCACGCAAAAGTCAAAGATTGGTACTCCCCGGTCACCGGATTGTTTAGTTGGGACGACATGGAGGGAGCTCGAAAAGCCGGGTACAAGATCTTCAAGGGCTGGGCGGCAGCACGGGACGCGCTACACAGGTTCGTCGACAAGGAGACCATCATCGTTGGCTGCAACCTGCGTTCGGATCTAGACGCTCTCCGTATGATCCATGGACGCGCCGTCGATATCGCCAAGGTCGTTGAGAAGGCTGCTCAGGGTCCGCTCAGCAAGGCGCAGCTAGCACTGGATGGCTTGTGTCGCGATTTTCCTGAGATCAAGCTCAAGAGCGACCCCGAGTATGGCCGGGACAGTCTGATGAACGCTTTTGCGGTACGTGAGTTCGGCTTGTGGGCGCTTAAGAACGCCGATAAGCTCGGCATGTTGGCGAAAAAGAGGAGTCGAGAGTATCAGAACGCTATGCCAAAAGTTGCTGTTGCAGGAGCTTGATGAGATACGCAGAGTTTGAGACAGACAGAACAGATGGGACTACGACAACGAATGCAAAGAACTGAACCCACTTACTGGTGATTGCTGTGATGTAACATGTGCACTGCAGACAACATCAGTACAAACAATGACATCTAATAAGACCCCAAGGCGATGTAGACTCTTGGGTGATTTGCACGAAGATACCTACGACTTCTCGTTCTTCTCCTCCTGTTCCTTCTCCACAACATCCACCACAAACGCACCACCCAGCAAAATCGCCGGCTCATCAATACTATGATGCTCATAGCTCAACGTCCCCACACCACCCGCCTCCAGAATCAAGCTAGGATTCTCCTCCAACCTCTTCCCCACCCACCTCGCCGCAAAGCTCCTCAAGATATGCCCATGCGCCACAATAAGCACATCATTCGGCTTCCCGTCCTTCCCAAACTTGCCCTGGTGATACTTCTCCCTCAGCTCCTTGATCAGCTTATCCAGTCTCTCCGTCACATCCTCTGGACTCTCGCCGCCTTCGCACCCATCTTTCCATATGTCCCAGTCAGACCCCAATCCGCGTTTCTCGCGGTCGGCTTTTATTTCAGAGGTCACGCGGCCTTCGTAGTCGCCGTAGTCCCATTCTCGGACGGCTTCTGTTACTTCGATTGTGGCGTGTGTGCGGATGTCTGGCGTGTGCGGTTTTGAGGTGGAGTGCCAGGGGTAGCGTTCTTTGCAGCCGAGGTTTAGGAGTTCGAGGGTGCGTTGGGAGCGCGTGCGGGGGGAGACGTAGCTGTGTGGGTGGGGTTAGTGGCTGAGAGTTTTGGGGTTGATTGGGTTGTTGTCTGGGAGTTTCAGAAGGGGGGTTTGGACGTACATGTGTGCTAGGTTGCTTGGTACGATTAATCTGTCGTCGCCGACGAGCGCTTTGCCAGTGGCCTTTACACGCTTCTCGCCGTTTTCGGTAAGCGGAATGTCTGAGACTCCTGTATGGCGGCCGTTGAGCGACCATTCTGTTTCGCCATGGCGGATTATGAAGACTCGTGGGTCGGGCATTGCGTCTATGCGTAGACCTGCTGTTGTGGCTGCTGGAAGACGAAGATCGTAGTGACGAGACGCGACGCGCAGGGAATGGGTCAATTGGAAAGTTCAGCGTTGAAAGCGCGTGCAGAAGATAAGGTCGTAAGGAACGGTACGAAGCTAAAGTCTAAGGAAAGCGTGAAATGAAGTATGCAACCATCACGGCAGCTGCCGGAGCTCAGTCCGTAGGTATGACGTTGGTATGGGGAATTATTTGGCATGGTGGGGCGTGCCAGGGACGTGTTGGAGCTACCCCACCATATCCGCTACACGCGCCTTGTCATGCTTCGACGCGCGTAGTAAGCCTTGGTCATCGCCTTGTTGAGAAATATGAATTTAAGATGGCTTCGGGTATATGCTGAGCTCATTCACTTCTGCAAAAGGAAAGAGCAAGTGGCGCGAAGGTGAAAGACAAGCGTGAGGTATCTTAGCTGATATTTGGTACAGAGACGGAACTGATCTCCTTTCTGAAGATGCCTGGGCAGATATAGACGCGAAGGCACCTGCTTTACCATCTATCTAGACGCGTGTGAAAGCCGACCCATCTCATCACTCCGCTACAATGGCATCATTTGGCACGCACTGGAAATACCATTCTAACAAAAATTAGTTTCGTAGCAGAAGAACGACGCATTAGTCTCCACATACCATTCTGTTCCACGCATGTTGAGCCCTTTTCGCAAACCGTGCAGCCGTCCCAAGGCTTAGTGTAATCCCAGCCTCCGCACTTGTAGTAAGCAGGTACAGGGCATCTCGTGCTGCTTGGGCCAGTCTCCTCAGTGGTGGTCTTTGTGGGCTTCTCGGTAGTCTTTGTAGTCGTCTTGATAGTAGTCTAAGGAGGTTAGTATGTATTCACGATGAGAGACTACAATGACTCACCTTTGTCGGGGTAGGCTCTGGCTTCTTGCTAGTCGTGGGCGGTTCAGGCTTCTTGGTCGTGGTGGTCGACGTTGGTGCTGGCTTCGTACTTGATTTGGGGGGTTCCGGCTTCTTCGAAGTGGTTGTAGGTGTTGGCTCGGGCTTCTTGCTTGATGTGGTCGGCTCTGGCTTCTTGGTCGTTGTCGTTGTAACTTTGCTTGTCGTCGGCTGCGGGACACCCGATGTAGGCCGGCTGATGTTGTCGGTGCAACGGCCTCCAATGCATGTAATTATGTACGTCTGGCGAGGCACGATGTCAACATGATTGTTTGCTGGCGCCTATTTCGAGTCAGTATGAGCCACCATTGCGAGTATCGAGCTACTTACCGCAAAGCATACTGCCGAAAGGCTTGTCAAAAGCGCAAGCGTGGTGAGCTGCATGGTGATTTGATAGTCGGATAGGAATGTATTCGTGAAAAAGATGCTGATCCAGCTGAGGGGTCTGAATTGATGGGACAGCGACAGCATCTTATACCCACGATCTCATGCTACTAGTCGGCTCAAGTCTAGGAAGTCAATGACAGGCTCAATGATGGCTTTGTGGCTCCTGTTCTGAACACCCGCGGCTCCATTGTAGACATGCAGTCTGGCCAGGGCCAAGCTCAGATACGAGGCCATCCCAATCTGCTCTTGCATTCGCCTATATTGTGGCTAGCGAGTTTGTGTGCCATTGTGACGGTACAGGCAATGTCAAGCATGGCGAAATCTCGTGCAGTCAGCTAAATACGACAAAGCACTCAAAAAACGCATTTGGAAGCCTTGAACAGATAGAATGCGCTGCGATCTATGGAGATATCCGCGTTTGTTGCTGTGTATTGCAGAGCGTTTCTTAGACGAGTTACCCACGACACAAAGCTACAAGCCTTGCACGAAAGGTCCTTGCCTAAAGGCAAATCGAAGCTCGCCTGCGTTCCGAAATGCTTCGCGACTGTCCTTGATGCTATTCTTATCCATGGCCACGCTTATAGACTGGGGTACGTTTTAGCCGCAAATTGATACCCAGTTGACCCATGTCCCAACACCAGACTCGCACTCACCCCAGAGCGATCGTGATTCGTTTCCCTTCTCCATATGTCGAGAGGATAAATTGTTCGATACAAGCAGTGAGACTGGTAGTCGGAACACTTGACGGAAAACCCGCGCGACGCTTGAGACGATCGCAGGATTGTACCGTAATCCGGGGGCGGATAATTGAGATGCAGAAGAGTGGGCTTATTGCATGCTGAGCCAGATTTTGGGGTTGACACTGCTCGAGAAGGCTCCAGGCGAGTAGTGGCAATAGTGCGTTGAGAGGCACATGGATAAAATGAACGGTAGTTACTGTCCGTGACCGGATGGCAGTCCCTGTTCATTCACCGCCTGCTCCATTCTCTTGCTGAGTACCATTCCCGAGAAGGTCTCCAACACCAATCCACTTCCTCACAAGGAAGGCGCCCTGTGGCCTCAGCTTCCTGTAGTATCCCTCTTCTCTCTCGAGTATCTCAAAGTTCCGCTTCTTGTACCATTCCATGCCTTCCTCGTTGGCCTCCCACACATGTGCTGTGACACAGCGTACACCATGAAGCTCGACGGCCTTCTTGACTATCGTCTGTAGAAGATGCATAGCGATGCCGTGGGAGCGGTAGGGAGCCAGGACGCCAATGGTGGAGATGTATAGGTTCGAGGAAGGCAGTATGCGACATCGGACGGCACCGACGAGATGTGGTTTCTCTGTGGATGATGCTGAGTTGGCATTCGTAGGCGACGAGTGCCACACGGCTACGAGGGTAATGCCGTGGTGTGGCTCGGTCATTGTTTCCTTGTAGAAGGTCTCTGGGTAGGATATGGGGAGAGTGAGGGTATTCAGGCGCTTGAATGCTGGCAACAAGTCTTCGGTGAGGGGCACGAGTTGGACGTTCGGCGGTAGAGGGCGTAGGTCGAAGAGCTTCGGGATGGCTGGCTGTTGGGTAGAGAGGGAGATGGGTGAAGGTATGCGCGAGATAGCAGGCGTGACTGTTCGAGAGGGACGAGGGCTCTTCTTTGATCGCGGTTTTGAGGGTGCTTGGAGGAAGTCGTCGGGTATGTCGTTCCAGTTCTCCATGTTGGAAGGCATAGGGGTCGGGTTAGAGGGAACGCGCGTCGGCGCAGAGACAGACTTTGGGGGAGGCGGTGGCCGGTTTGTCTTTGATGATGCCATTGGAGGAGCGTTTGAGGGCGGTGCGGGTTGTTTATCGAGGCTTGGCTTCTTGAGCCAGTTGTTTAAGGAGGACTGCATCGCGGGCAGAGAGGGGCTGGGTTGGCTGTGATGATGTCGTCGAAGGTCGTGGTTTGGGTACCTAGGTAATGATAGCCAATGGATGGTCACGTGGACAACAGCGAGTTGCTAAAGTTGTATTCTCGCGATGGGTTGTGAATTGTCAAGTAATGGAAGCGCAACCCACAAACACAAACATGAGGGGAGACTTCTGGTGTTTCCCTGACGCGCCTTCGGATCGTTTGCAGGGATGTTTCCTAGCGTGCTTTCGTCGGCCAAGCCGTCAGCTCCGACTTCTTGCAGGAACAGCATCATCGCCCTAGAAATCCCCAGGAGCCACCACCGCAACCATGGGCGCCGAGAACTCGAAACCCTCGTCAGAGGTCAAGCAGCATGTCTTCTCCTCGTACGTCGCATCTCCCACATCCAATGGCTCCAGCCCCTCATAAGAGATGAATCAGCCAGTGACGTCGTGTGCTGATAATTTGCGCGCAGAGATCACCCCTACAGCTTCTCCAATGAACTCGTCGGATCGCTGCAGAAGAACACTTTCGTACGTCCAATGGCTGGAATGGGCGAGTTGGGGCTAATTCACGTGCAGACAGACTCGGCGCGATCAAGACAGCAGGAACTCCAGTATCAGGAACGCCTAACCGCCGAGCTCGAGAAGCTGCGCGAGCAAGAAACCCAGAACTTCTCCAAGTTCAGCGAAACCCTCTCCACCGAGACCCCACAGTCCGATGAACCCTCCCTAGTCGAGAAGATCCAGGATGCGACATCCAGCAGCTCCACCCTCGCCGAGAAGCAAAGACAAAAGGACATGAGCAGGGACAGTGTCACCAAGGAGATCGAGCAGCTCAAGGCGAAGCTCGAGCAGAGGAAGAAGTTGGAGCAGGCCGATGCCGATGTCACCAAGGCCAAGGAGGCTGTCGTCTCATGTCTGCGGACACACGACCGCCGGCCGCTGGATTGCTGGAAAGAAGTCGAGACCTTCAAGCAGGAGGTCGGACGCCTGGAGAAGGAGTTTGTACAAAAGACCATCCGATGAGCCATGACGCGAGATCGTGACAATGAGGTTTGGTATAGGCGCCTTTGTATAGTTGGGTTAGGTGGGATAGCATCCTCGAGGGCATTTCTTATCTCCAAATACCTACACTACTTGTTACTTGCCTCTTGCTCAACACACCGCTACTGCACTACATATGTGGAATTACGCGGGGTACCCTCACTGCAATATTGTTATGACTATGGGTTTCATCTCTTTCCACTGTCGGTTCCTTCAGTCACCACAACTATCTTCTATTTCTTGCACATTTTGAGAGATTGATCTCATATTTTACGTGTGTTTGTCCATGACTTCGGCTACCAGTGGACCAGGATCACCTTTGCTCGTAATCTCTGTCATCACAACTCGCCTTCAACGCGCGTCAGAACGCGTGAGCTCTGTAGGTTGCCTACGCCATCTGCAACAAAACTGGCCTGCAGCTCACCTTCCTTCCCTTTCGGGCGTCTACCAGACTCACCTTCACCGTCGATGCCTTAGCGCTTTGGCCTCTTTGTTAGAATAACAGCACAGTGTCTCTCGCAGTTTCGACTGCTAACTACCACGCAAGCAGCTTTAATCAACGGCGACAGCAACACTGTGCCTTCGTTTTCGGTGCCTTCCGCAACTCGAAAGTCGCGATAAATCTCCAGCCATCGTTGCTAGCGCGCGCATTGCAGCAATCGCCTAGTCACTACTCCGTACAAAAGGCAACTGCCAGGTATGTCGCGTGAATCATCGCGCCTTCCACTCTAAATTTCATAGTCGTGTCGCTAACATCAAGCAGCAGCAGCGGACAACATGTCGTCAACACGACCCTACATGGTACTCGACGAAGATGATGAGAGCGATATCGAGTTGCTTGACTATGGTGAGCCGCTACTTCCAAGTTGGACAAAGCTCATCAATTGACATTCGTCTTTAGACTCCGAGTCCGATCTTGACATCATCGCGACTAATTCTCGTGAGGCGTCTGCTACACCAACCACTCCGAGCTCGAACGAGGGAAAGACCCGCACGCGCAAACCTCCGCCAAGCAACGACATATCTCTACCGGATGTTGCAATCCAGACATACAAAGTCGGCACAGGTTTCGTCATCAAACCGGGCGACACAGTGGAATTGAAAGATCACTCAAACCAAAATGAGGGCGCTATGCATTCGGGAGACTTTCTACGCATCAAGAACATACTCATGAACATGGAGACGGATGAAGTGCGACTCCGAGGTTGGCGCATGAGGCGTACAAAGTACCTCGGTCAGGTCTTCGACTGTGAGTACGACCGAAAGACAGACTTGAGGACATGTACTGACTTCTCTCAAGGGAAGATGAACGAGTTGGGCATGGTCCTACGTCTTGATGAAGATGACCCTACATCACCTTTTGTCGCTGGAATGGAAGACGTCGAAATCGAAGATGTCCTACGAGCACGCGACTGTACGCTGACCAACAAACCCTACCCGTTCCTCAGCTTCCGATCCGACGGTTGTGCTGCATGGCCGAATGGTATGACTAAGGACGCTGTCAAGCGACAGATCTTCCACGGAGGTAGGCTCATTTGCCGTGTCGTCAACATTCTCTACATAAGTGGCACAAGGACAAAGCCATACGGAGGCATCGTTCGTCATCTATATACCCACGAGGCGGATGCGACTGCGACACCAGCTCAAACTTCAGATCCCGGTGATTCTCGCCAGACTTCAATATCGGTAGAGGAAACTGAAGAGGACGGAGACGTTGTCGTGAACCAGGCGCCTTCTGCAAAAAAGCGGCGTGCACGCGACGACTCTCCTGACTTCGAGATCTTGGAACAAGAACCACCAAAGCGAAAGACTCAGCATCCATTGAAGCAGGGCCGTCTAGTGTTCGGAGACGTGTTCTGTGGAGCTGGGGGTGCTAGTCAAGGCGCTGCCCAAGCTGGCTACTATGTGCAATGGGGTCTCGACAATGACGAACGTGCGCTTGATGCATACCGGCTCAACCATCCTGGTGCATACGCATGGAAAATGAATGCGCATGATTTCCCGCCAAAGGGTATCAGCAAAGAGAGCTGGAAAGTCGACGTACTACACCTCTCGCCCCCTTGTTGTTACTGGAGTCCCGCACAGTAAGAGAACACTTTCATTATGAGATCATTCACTAACATCTGTCAGTACTCACGATGGACCCAAAGACCAAGAGAACTATGAAGCCATCTACACCGTTGGTCCGATTCTCAAGGAGGTCAAACCGCGTGTCGCAACACTTGAGCAAACCTTTGGCCTCGCGACTCACGAGCAACACAAGAGGAACTTCCTTATGCTCTTGAACGATATTGGCCAAGCCGGTTACGATGTGCGCTACAAGATTCAGGACTTAAGCCAATTCGGTCTCGTACAGAAGCGCAAGCGTTTGCTGATCATCGCTGCAAGGTTCGTGGTTTGCGATCCACATGCCAATGATATACATACTGACATGTTTCAGACGGGGTACACCTCTACCTCCCTTCCCAAAGCCCACGCATGGCGCTTCAGGAAGTGGTCTAAAGCCCTTCGTGTACATCGACGATGCCCTCACGCACATTACCCGCCAAGGCAGGCGAGCTATGAACGACCCCTACCATCAACCCAAGTGGTTTCCCATCCCCAGACCAGCCTATAGTCCGCGAACATTCCTCCGAGGCTGCATCACCACCGGCGGCACAACAGCTTGCCATCCCTCCGGCAAACGACATTTCACACCTCGCGAACTCTCTTTGTGCCAGAGCTTCCCATACGTGTATCAATTCACCGGTGCCCAGGGCGAGGCCAAGAAGCAAATTGGAAATGCATTCCCACCAGTTATGGCACAGGCAATGTACCAGGTAATTGCACAGACTCTAGAAGCCTTTGAAAAGGGCCTTATCGGAGCTGAAGATGATCTCTCTGACCTGGATGCCATTCTGAGACCTAGCGGTGAGAGCGTTCCTCAACAGCGACGTCTCGATAGCTTCACCGGAAGCGCCAACATACCTTTCAGGCCTTCTCGAACCGTCAGCCCTAGGATGGCGAGAGCTACCGAGTCACGCACTGCATCGCCCTCTACGCGCAAACACGGGTCCGATTCGATGCAATCGCGCCGCAGGAATGAGAAGAGCTTCGCGTCTATGAATCTCCTTGATGGTGGGCTGAGTGGCATCAACAACTTTGCCAACAGAAGCACCGCTTCAGTCGGCAGGACAACCGAGCGACGTCGCAAGCCTAGTATTCCAGGCGACGATGACGAAGTCATCCATATCCCCAGCGACAGCGAATGAGCTTCTGAGATTCTATCTGAAGAGGAGGGAATCGTTACTGCGCGAATTGATCTCATGTATCTTCGGAAGCTGCGCCGCCTCAATTTACTTGGGCAGGAGCAACCTCTGAAACATTGAGTCATGTGCATTGAAGCAGTCGATTATCGTGACAAGCTACACGCCATCTGTGTGAATACAGTTCGTTTCACATCTAGGTTGCAAGGATAGTCTGTGAGAAACTTGTACAGCGAAGTACGTGCATACTACGTTTTCCTAGCTCCTAGTTACAGTCAACTTGTATATAGAATACACAGGATGTTTCCACTTCTTGACCTAGGTGTATGCGTGACAAGATGTGTTACACGCGATGTTGGCTGCTTTCCTTGCTATCCATCGATCTCGAGAGGGTGCGACAATGCTCGATCTTGATAACGCGCCTCACTAGCTCCATCGCGTCATAGCACACCATGTATCCGTAGAATGTCTAGGAGAACACTCCGTACACTCCAAACTGAGGCCTTAATGCGCAAAGCCTCCTACTGGTGGACATAATCGGAATATTCTGCGGGATACTAATCGGGCCTGACCACAAGATAGACAAGAGTAGAGCACAAGGCTACCGAAAGAGGTAATTTGAGAGACGTACGCTATTGTCCGACCCCCAAGCCAAGCGCTCCCCAGACTGCATGTGTGAAGCACAAGGCCGTCATACCGTGTGCGATACCGACTCCCAGAGCCCAGGAACAACATCCGGACCGGCCAATTCCAGGTGCACGCCGCTTACCCAAAAGCTTAATTGCGACCCAAGCCCGAGCAAATCCAGGTTTGACGTGCTGTCACCCCCATCTACAGGATCATCTTGCGAACCTGGGCTACAGTAACGAAACCGCGTAATGAGTATACGCCGTACGCCCATCCCCCAAGCACCGACGTCCGCCCGTCTTATGGTAAACATCTTACGATTCTGACCTCATTGCGTCCAGGGTGCCAAACTTTGCAACACCGACGCTCTGTCCTCCCTCTCCCGCACCAATGGTCTCACCGGCAACTTGCAGAAACACGACACAACCAGCATGACCCATGTTGAGAATTTCACCTTCCTTCCAAAATCTTACATGGACGTGGTAGATGCGTTTACCCTGCGTCCGCCAAAGTACACGTGCTTACCTACATTGGCATTTCTGACGACCGCCCATGCTCATGTTGTGATGGTGATGGACATGTGCTAGCCTCGCTTCTTCTCGTGATAAGGGAAGCGAAAAAAAGAAAACAAAGAGGAGAAATTAAAAAGAGGGCAGCGAATCACGTCTTTTCGGTACGCCTTCCGGATGTAGCGCGAGAGGGCAGGAAAAAATCCAAGATAGATTGCTTGCTCCTGTCGAGGCTCTCGGCCAAGTTGATGGATTTAGATTGCGAAGTTACATGCACGACAAATGCATCCAAAGGCGGTTTTTCTCGCTTTTCCTTTCTGCTTGGAGAGCGGGACCTGCGATCGGACCGTTTGTGATGGTAAGCGCCCCTCCCCGCCTCGTCACGAGAGATGATGTGGGCTATGCAGGTTGATTGAGGAGGTGCCTGCGGAGTTGGATCCGGTTACACACCGCTATCTATTGCTTGGTTCAAAGCGTCTTTTTTTGTTGCCCTTCCCATTGGGCTTTTGGTGCGGTTTGCTGGCAGGAAGTGTCGACGTTGCTGCCCGGGCGGTCTTGGTACGTCGTCATATGAGGGAGGGTCGGGGGTGCAATGGGAGCGGAGCGGAGACAGAAGCCGGACGGAGGGGTATATCGACGATGCGCATGCAAGTTAGGTGGGATGATGGACGTTCAGGGTCCGATTGTCGTTCGGAGAGACCCAACGATACGCCCATGCCAATGCCAATGCCATGACACGGGGAAGTCTCTTCGGTGGCTTGCCGCATGTCAGATTTGTTTCCATGGTTCGCTCGTATACTGGATGGTTTGTTTCGACACGGCTCGTAGCTTGGGATCGTCTTTGTTCGACAAGCGCGCCAGGTGTGCGATGAGTAGCGGTAAAGAGGAGACCACATTCAGGCCCAAAGTCAGGTCAGGCGATGGCTCGTCGGTGCATGACATTGCATGAGTGAGGCACAACGCCCTTTCCGGTTCAATGGAACTAGAGACGAGTGTGGAGCCGACTTGAGCGTCTCCCTCGTTTATCATTCGCGTGGAACTGTTCTTCCCGACCCTCTAGTGCTGATCTTGCTAGCGTGCCATGTGCGTTCCCGCTTCTGTTTCTTGTATCTTACCTGCTGTGGCTTTGTTGTGATGCCGAGCGTTTGAGCCTTGCGCGGCATGGTAGATGCACGCCGCGCCGTCGAATCGCATGTGAATATCTAGTGCTGCAGCTAGAGTATCTACTACAGCGGAATTTCGCTAGTTAGTCGATACAGCGGGCTGTGCTTCAGGTCTTGAGGCTGTTTGGAAGGTCAACGAGGGTGGACCTCGGGCGTGCGTCGAACAAAGGACAGCAAAACGGCGCTGTTTTACGGGGTGTGTGCCGGAGTCTTCGGCCGACAGGTACTGAGTTGTTCGGAACAGCAGGAAACGAGTGCAAGTCTGCCCGACTGGAGTTAAGATAGCCCGGCTTGGTTACCCAGGACAAAGGAACATGCCGATTCGGCAATCAAGCGGGAAAAAAAACAAGGGATCAACTTTGACATCAACTCTCCACTTGCACACGATGCCGCATATTCGCCGTGTGGGCCGTTTGGGGCATCACCAACGCTCTTCTTGAGACTTGTATCAGACAGGCGCGGACTAACTCTTCCGCGCTCGCCCGTGGAAACACTCTAGAACAAGACTTGGAACCTAGCGCATCCGACATGCGAGACTACGCTTCTTGGACGTCTGTTCTCAATCGAATAAACCTTCTTTTCAATGTTTCTAGAAACACACCATGGCCGCGCTACCGGACTTTCTCCCTGACATATCGGGGCGTCTGCTTCGTGCCTGCTAGCCAGCCGCTCGACATGCCCTCCGGAGCCTTGCCGAACCGCCTTGAGCACCTACCATAGTTTCATCACCTTCTACACCGGTACATTGGGCGCAAGGATGTCTGCAGCCGAACGCCTCAGTCCTTCCACATGATCCTTGCGAACATCGATGATCTGCACGTCAATCGCGTCTTTGGACGGCAGAGCTAGGAGTATTTGGAAGTCTGCATCGTGAGCGCATGGACGTTTTTCTTGCTAAGGGTCTCCTAAGGCCGTTGCCAGTGAAGGGGTTCCTGGCTACACGGCTTCCTAGATAGCTAGGTGGAGCGAGTCAAGTGTAATGAATTCATGGGCTTGCAACAGGATGACGATTACGGAATGGGTCACTTGATGCCGTCTTCGAGAATAAAGACCGGGGGTGTGCGCTGCTGTGGCTGATGTTGATGTTGTGGAAAGCTGCTCACTCTACTATTCCGACTCTCTCTTGATCCATAGGGCTGGCCTTGCTAAGGATCTGAGCCTCATTTCTCGATACGACATATCGGCCCATATCCTTCCTGTCGCCAACTAATCAGTCGAGTCGAGGTACTATAAGTTGACGGATAAAGTCAATTCCTTGAAGACGTCAACCATCATGGCGAAAACAACACGCTCACCGTTCCTGGATATCCTTCCTCCAGAGCTCCGTCTACACATCTACACACACCTTCTCGTCGCCCCATCATCCATCAAAGGTTCCGTCGCCCGTCAAGACACAAAATACGACCTCCACACAGCCATCCTCCGAACAAACAAACAAATACACCACGAAGCCCGCTCCGTATTCTTCGGCAAAAACACCTTCTACATCACATCCATACCACCCACTCCCTCCAGCAAAGATGCCATCGACGACCAACAACAAGAAGAAGAAGGATCCGGCGCCTTTGAACCCCCTCTTCAACTCACCGATCTCCCCTTAGTCCGCCATCTCGAAGTCGACCTCCTCTACTACCCCACCTCCATGACCACATCTCTAGACTCGCGCGACGGAATCTGGAAACCCGTTTGCACTGGCGCAGACCGCTACACCACCAGCTTATCCTACCTCCTCAGCACCGTCTCGCCCAGTCTGCTCAGTCTGAAGATATGCGCAGACACGCGCCGCTACGTAGGAAGTACCACGGGCCAGGATGCTCATGCTCTCAGCGACAAGTTCAAAGCCGATACCGAGAGATTGCAGGTTCAGAAACTGCTTACGGGGTTTTACATGGCGGATAGTAACACGCTGTTTAAGAAGGCGATGAAAGATTTGCTCGTCAGGGACATTACTTTGCACTTTGATTTTCCGGAGAGCTACTTTGATTTCGTGGTGGGGAGGGAGAGGCTGTGCGGACAGAGCTTGGTCGAATTGGCGGGACAGGTACTGGCGGCTAGGACGGAGATTAGGTTCAAAGCTGCGTTGCAGGAGGTGGGTGTGGGGAGTGAGGTTGCCGAGGCGGGAGTCGTGAATTTGATTCCGTTTCCGTGCTGAGTGACGGCTGTGTTTACGAAGGTTGGGTGAATTGGAGGGATCGTTTGGGACAAGCATTTTGGCATGATACCATGATTTGAGAGCACATTGAGCATTTGAGGGCGTTTTTGGTTTACAACATTTAGATCGGTGGTTGGCTTTAGGGGGTACAGGCAGCATTTCAAAGCATCACATTCACATCTCTCTACATCTGTCCATCGAAGTAACGACTGGTTGATGTAAACAAACAAGCTACCAAGGTTGACGCGTATGACTCGCGATGTAAACAAACGAAAGCTCATCGTCCCTGACCATCCCTGATCTTTGTCGTATCCTTCGTCAGTGTCGTAAATCGTAAGTGTCGTCTCGTTTCCATACATGATCCAAAATCGCAGTCATAACCAAACACAGATGGAACGCAAGAAGCTCGGAAAGTAGAAGAAATATAATAATACACTCGTAGGGATGTCTACGCTTACCAACGGTCCTCGTCTAGACTCTAATAGTCCCTCCTGCGATGGCGCCTCGTTTTCACGGGGCTGCCATCACCCTCAGAATCGCTGCTGAAGTAGTCGTAATCATCGCGACCATAGTCGTATCCATGATCTGGACGGCGATCGCGGTCGCGTCTGTCATCCTTTCGTGCGTCGCGGTCATCGTGTCCGCGCGACTTGGAACGGAGGCGGTCTATTACGCTGCGGCTTCTAGCACGTAGGCTGGGACCTTTGCTGCGTTCGCGGTCATGCGCACGCGTTCGTGATCGGGAGCGCGAACGGGATTTGGAGTGGCGATCGCTTCCGCTTCTGTGATGGAATTAGAACGAAGACCAGTCAAGTGTGTGCGCGGTACTCACCTCGAGCGTGTGGCCATCTGCCTGGCACCCAACGCACCCGCAGCTGCTCCTGCCAGTGTGGTCAGCCTACTTTTACCCAAGGACCTGCCCGCGAGTCCTCCCGCCAACGCACCTCCCACCGAAGCCGCCAAACTCTTTTCGCGCAGATCCATGCCGTCAAATCTATCACGCATTTTAGTCATGCGTGAATCATCGCGACGGGAATCTTTGCTAGAGCGGGACTGATGGGAGTGAGAGTCAACGGACCTAGCCCTGTGGCGATGTTCGCGACGAGGCTTGGTACTCTCACGGCGGGAGGAACGAGTGTCGGTGTATGCGGCCATCGACTGTTCAGCAGATGGGGGCACGTAGGTCGGGTAGACTGCGCTGGGCACAGGCGCGAAAGTAGGCTGAGAGTTGGAGCGCTGACGGTTGAAGGGCGGGGGAGATGGCTGGTAGCCAGCGCCGCTCGCAGGGAACTCGGTGTGGTGGTAAGGGTTCATAGGGGAGTTTGATCCCACTGGCGGAGGAGGGATAGGCGCATCTACGGCGGGCGAGGGAGCGTAGCCGGGGCCGGGAGCGTATCTAGAGCTTCGGGGCGCATCGTACTGGCCATAATCCAACGATACATTGCGCGGCTCTGTAGGTGGTGGCTTCGGAGTGTTAGTGAGTGGGCGCTGGAGCAAGGCCGCGAGAGGCGGCTCGTATGACGGAGTGAAAGCAGCAGAAACGGGAGAACCACGAGAAAGCGTGCGAAGTAAATGAGGCTGAAAGGAAAAAGGGCTGGAAGTCGCTGACGTGGTCCGGCTTCGCAACATGGGCGGACAAGAGTTCGCCGGTGTTGGATGCTCGGGCATGGTCGCAAGTGTCGCGCGTCGAAAAGTGGAAAAATTATTTACCTGAGGAGAGTATCCGTAGGCTGGAGTGACAGAAGGGCGGCGGTCCTGCACGGGGCTCGGTGCATATTCCTGCGGATTATAGGGCTTGTATTCGGAAGTGGGCGGAGGAGGGAAGTAAGGCTGTCCCTGCTGAGGTGAGGCCATGTCTCGTGAATCGCTGTGCTGCCCGTCCAGGTCGCTGCTGTGTCGTCCGTGGCGTCCGCGACTCAGACTTCTACTAGCAGTGGTTCCCGTGCTCTTTGCGCGTCGTCGCTCCCTCTTTCGGCGCTCGCGCTCGCGCTCGTAGTCGGTGTCGTCGGTGTAGTCAGAGTACTCGGTCGGCGGGCTGCGCTCTTGCCGGGAGCTGCGCTTACTGGATCGGTCTTCGCTCCGGTGCCGTTGTCTTGCGTCTCGTTCGTTGCGGTTCAAGTGCTTGCCTCTCTTCTTGCCCTCTTTCGAGTCTGGGGGTGCAAAGTAGCCGCCGGGTAGCTTGTGGAAGAAGCTGTCGGGAATCTGCTCTGCGCCGTAGCTGATGGCCTTGAAGGCTAGGGCCGCCATGCTTCAGATGGGGGCCGCGAAAGCCGGATGTCGTGATGTGACGTAGGACTGTCTTGCGAGCAGCGCTGTGATTGGAGCGCAGTCGACCGGTCCCAGCGATTCGACGAGGGGGCCTAGTTCCAAAGGTTGGGAGGATAGTCTGCAGCAAGGCCGGATAGCGATAGGCCGGACTACTCAGCGCGCGTTCTGGTGTGTATATCTGTAAGCGATGTAGATGGTACCTGGAGAGGGTGAGGTGGGTTGGCAGAGAATTTGTCTTGAAGAAAGTGCGCGGGGGTGTAGGCGAGGTAAAGGATTATAGGATGCGCCGCGGCAAGTGACCTCGACGGATGGCGGCAAGAAGCAATTACATATGGCAATTGAGTAGCTGCGCTTAAAGACGATGATATAGCTGATTCGGCGCATACGTGCGACGCCGTGGCAGCCGCCTCCTACAGACTGCCAAAATGACGTCGTACGTCATCCGCCTGGCTCGTGCGCCGCTGTCATTGGAGCCGCAACCTGGAGATCGTCGCTCCCTCAGCCTCTCTGGTAGATGAATCCTACGATGCAAAAAGCACCTCGATCAACGGTGATCTTGCAGTCATTCATGCACATGTCCATGTCATCAATGCGCCTTTTTCTGCTCTTCACTCTTCCCATCGACGCAGCAGCAACAGCACGAAGAACATCTACTGTGGCCTTCGGAGATCATGTTCAATGCAAGGGACGCACGGCCGGCATTACACCTACTCTCCGCGTGTAATCCTACACAGGGTCTGGCCTCCTATGGGGCGGTGGGCCAAGAGCACTCGGAATACACATTCCAATCCCCTTGCCCAAAACCGGGTTGCAATTCCTTACAACGCAGGGTATCTACTAGGAATGACCAGGGTGCAGCCTATCGTGACATTGCTGTGCGTTGGCAAGGCTCGTCGGCTTCGTGACATCGACCACTCGGAGGGTTGGGGCTATGTGCGATGACGCCACGTTTGGACTTTTGTGCTTCACCGCCATCATGACATGGGTTACACAACCATGGCTTTCTACGCGCACTCGTACGGATTTCATCGAGGAATGTGATTAGAATTTGAGCGTCCAACTGCATGTGCATGGACCGGGTATCTTATGCATCCTACTACTCCGGAGTAACCCAACGCCAGACCGACAACGAAGAGAATGAGATGAAGATCATTCAGTCATCATGAGCCGCTCGACTACACTTGGTCAGCAGCTACCGATGCAAGGCTGCGTATCTCCCCTGCTGGTCTGCCAGCGCTGTCTGGTACCTCGACCATGTCCTCCACCATTCCCAGGAATCTTTGTCTATATTCATCGCTCGTCGTCGTAATGCTCATCGGGCCATGGTCTTTTCCAAACTTTAACGTGTTGAAGAGTTTGACAAGTCCCGTCATCGTCTGGGCCTGGAGTGCGTCTTTCGCCCAGAAGAAGTCGAGTACGATGGCCCGGTAAACCCACTTGCCGTCGCGCGATACGACACCTGTGCGCCATGTAGATCCTCGACCAGGGGGCGGCGGCACATCACCAGAGTTCAGGTCGGCGGGATAGCGGACGAGGAATAGCGAGTAGTCAACCGCATTATTGCCTTGTAAGATCTTAGAATCCCTGGATAGCTGCGCAACAAGCTCCTCTTTCTGATCGATAGTCACTCGGATCTTGTCTTCGAATTCATCAATGAGGCGCTCCTTGACGCTCTCGGGGGCCAGGCGCCCGTTAGCCACGTCACGTTCTGGGTAGAAGTAGTCATTGGGCTTGAGGTCATATGTCTCCCATCGCTTCTGTTGGGCCTTGCTGCAGCTCGACTTCCCGTACAGAATGTTCTCCATTATTATATGATGGCTCGGCGCGGTGCCTACAGCGGCTCCGACGGTAGCTGTAGGACAGTAGAGGAGGTCGGTTATGCGGACGAGGAGGGAGTCCTCATTCAGCTCCATATGTTCGACATAGGGCTCGAGGAGGCGATCACGGAAGAAGGATTGCTCAAACTTGCGCGGCAGGGACTTGATCAGGTACTTAGAATTAGGTGTCGTGAAGAATGTCTGATGCGCATTAGCCTGTCGTCCTCATATGCGAGGTTCCGCGCGTACCGAGCCTGAGTAACCCAGGTCCCCAATGGCGATCAGATCGGTCCGTTTGCTCTTGCTTGGGCGGAAGCTCTCGATGTACCCTTCCTCTTCAATCTCCCACGTGTCATTCCTCAGTTTCTTGAACAGAGATGCGCGATAACGAGCGAGAGTCAGACTGAAGACAGCGAAGAAGGCATAGATGCGCGCAAATAGACCCAAGCGCGCGCTTTCATCCTTACGAGGCGAATCTGATCTGAAGATGGCGCGTAATATAGACGCGCTGATGAGACGGTCTCGACGTCCCATGTTGAACTTCAATCTTGTCGCGGTTGTTGTTGGTAGAGTACACAGAAGGCAGCGTTGCGGAAGCGTGAAACGCTACAGTCTCGAGGCCCGTGAATGTCAGGATGATGTCATTGCGCTAACCACGAGCCTCCTCAAGGCCTGTATTGTCTGCGCCTCGTATCTTCACCAGCGCGCCAAACTTCCATCAACGTAAATGTTGAGCAGCTTGCACGAAGAATCGGAGTTCCCCCCATGTGGATGAGCAATCTCGAGGATCGGCTAGATCTGATGAGACGGCTCGCGGGCTTCTCTCTCGCTGCAGCTAACGTTTAGCACCCAGCATAACCGCCACAAAAGCGCCACAGTTCGATTTCATCCGCCGCGTTCGAGGGCGTCCAGGATGGCTTCTGCCGATACGCTCTCAACCATCTTGTCTGACACGAGAGAAACTCGGTGTACCTCGTGCTCGTGTTACAGGTAGTTATGCCCGGTATCTGGTACCTTCAACGACACCTTAATCGGTGTCTTGGAGCCGTCACCAGCAACCTTGCAAGAGGCACTACAATAAGAAGATCGGCTCTGTACCAAAGTTTGCAATCATCCTGAGACGCAACAAGCCGTACGGAGCACTACTAGCCTGACCTCGGGATCTCCGCGTGTTCGGCCTACTCAACTGTCAGGGACTTTGCTGGTTGTACATGGCTAGTGGATGGAGCCCGAATAACGCTGCGAAATTTACTCATGGCATTTACCCAAGTCTAGATTTGATGCTCCTTCACGACAACACGGTTGCTTCAACCTCTCCACCTTGGCCGCCTTTCCTGCTTGGCAATATTTCTGCATCTCGGAACCAGAGTCTCGAACGTGGATCTGGAGAACTTCAAACAAGCGAGCTATATATTGCCTCCTCGGAGTTGCGCCCCAAGCGATCTCCCGCTCGGCACGTCTTCCGCTGTTTCACCCTGGGCCCTTATGTGATCGCGCTAAGCGTGCCGCTACAGCGCTGCAACGGCGAGGAGCAGCGCGATGGCAAATGCGATATTGCGACCTCAAAGAGAAGCAAATACAGCGTACAGGAATGCAGTCAGAGCCTCGAGATGGAGCCTCCGCTATGTAACAGTCTCACAAAGCTAACAGCTTGTGCAACCTGAGTTCTGATGAATATAACGGGAATTCCGACATGGTACAACCTGACCATGTATGCATCTAGGCGTACTCGTCTAACGGACTAGACCCTTAGGTCCAGGCAATTCTTGCCCCGTCTCGTCCCGGCTATCAGTTTGACGGCTGGCACCCCACATCACTTTGCCTCTCCAGTCTGCTTCACGGTGGGAAAGTTCGCCCAGGCGCTTCAGCATCCCCTTGCGGAGGTTTCTACCCTTCCCGCCCGCAAACTACTGGATAGAGGCTGTGTATCACAGCTGCAGGGTCATCAAGCCATTGTTGACTGGCGTCGACTGGTGTGGGTATTACCCTGCTTACTGACTACACCCAACATATAAAGCATGAGTGTCTTTCCTCGGTTTGACAGCATATTTGTACCACTTCAAAACTCATAACACTTTGCCACATCAGGTTGATACCAGGCATAGTCGCTCGTCCTCAGTACTAGTCTTCCCAAATCTGTACATTCTTTTCATCCAAGTTACTCCATCACATATTCACCGTCCACAATGGCGAGCGCAGACGTTCAGCAACCACCTGCGCAGGAAGCTGCACCCGCACTACCTGACTACCTCACAAACCCTGATGCTGTTCTGGGGGACAATGATGCCAAGTGGCGATACGGCAGAGCGCCTGATTACTCAAAAACCAGAAAGGTGTTCGCTGAGAGTAAGTTACCAGATGCGGCAATGAGCCTGCATGTCAGACACAATACAGTTTACTAATCATGCACAGCAAAGCAAATGACACACGAAGCCGGTTCTCTTCCTGAGCTCGTACAGAATCTCGTCAAGAACTGGGAAGTCGAAGCCTCCTTCAAGCCCAACATCGACGACTGGCGTACGATCGATCGGGAAAACTACTCATTCGCCATCAATGGCGGCAAGGCTGAAGGAGCAGAGGCTATGCTCAAGGTCGGCACATACAATGCTATCATTGCGCCGAACGAGTACTACTCGCCCGACTACTCCGACTTTGCCTCGTCACACAAGACGTTCAAGCGCATGATGCCTACCTTCGCATGGGAGGTACTAGAAGTCTACAGCGGCCCACCAACAGTCAGCTTCCGATGGCGCCACTGGGGCCAAATGAAGAACGACTACGTTGGCTTCAACAACAAGGGCGAGAAGGTCACAGCCAAAGCACACGGAGGCTCAATCGACATCCAAGGTGTCACGGTCGCGACGGTCAACGACAAGGTGCAGCTACAGTCCGTTCGCACCTGGTTCGACCCGATGGACATGTTCAGGCAGATCGCGCCTGACGGCGTCGTGAAGAAGGAGGAGAAGCCCAAGAACATGTCACCAGCAGACGCCCTCGATGAAGCTCAGGCCGGCATCAAGGCGCCCGAGGAGCAGGAGCTACCGGATGAGTTCATCCAGAGCAAAGAGGAGGTCAAGGAGACGATCGAACGTCTTGATAATATGACGACCGAAGAGAAGATGTCGACCACTCAGGGCTTGCCTGCTGACCACCCTGCTGTGTCATCGTCTTCTAACACTGAGGCTGAGGGCGGAAGGTGTCCTTTCATGCCCGGAGGCTTCAACTGAGGCGTATGTATGTGTGTGAAATTAGGGATATAGCACATTCGAATTCGATTGAATCACAGGGAGTTATGAGCGGGTACTTAATAAGCATGGAAGCAGATCAGATAATTCGCGTTTAAATTTTATTACTATATACCATATTGTTACAATCAAACATCTTCGCCAAGTCGCGCTTTCCAATCATCTCTGAGCACCACTTTCGATTGAAGTAACATTCCCTTTTGCCATGCACAGTGTGTTTTCGTGGAATACCACCGATTCAAGCACACGCACTAACACCAGCCATCTATGCAGATACGATGATCGTACCCCTGCACTTCACAACAACTCAAATAACATGTCGGCGAAGACAATGCTGCGTATCGGGATGATCTTCCGAGCAAGTTAAAGCCGTTTGGTACGATGCTCGCTAGTCAAGTCTGACGCCATAGCGGCTGCTAGTGAACCGAGATACTGTCAACCTCCTCAGCCGCGACTACACTCACAGCTAACTAACACCGACACCGACAACCGACACTGCCCTGACACGCTGACGATCTCCAGCCCTTGCTTTCGGGACGCGAATTCTCCGCATAGCGCTCGTTGTATACGTCCAGGTGCCTGATTATTCATCACCCGCCGTCCGCGCCTCCTTCGTAGCTTCCCCGCTGCTTCTTGCCCAGTATCTAGTGAGGCTCGTGCGAACGCAGATTCGACACGCGATGGGGGAGTTGACCGAATTTACCTAGCGTGATTAGATACCCGCTATCCGCCCATTGCAATCGTAACATTTGGCTCGCGCTTTACTTGACGGATATATACAGCCTTCAATGACCGTGGGCAGTCACGGAGAGCTGTAGGCTCCAGTCTGCGGCAGAGAAGTGTATCCTTGCACTGTCGACAAGTGATGTGAGGTTTCGTCGGTTTTCCAGCTATCGTCTGAGCCTGGTGGGGCTGTCTCTCTATTCAAAATGTACTGGAACCGGTGACTGAGTGCCTTTCTAGCTTCCGCCAAAACATGAAGACCGGCAGGTTTGGGGATCCAGGGCGGCAGAGCAGTCGCAAACCATACAGCGTGGTTACCGGCATACATGAGATTACACTTGTGATATGTTACCAGATATCGCACCAAGGCATGGCACGCTGGACAAAAACGCTTGGATACTGGCAACACATCCATTGCTTTCCGCATGGTATCAGTTGTACTCTTGGGAGGTAAGCGTAGGTAATGGTGAAGGTTCTCGGGTAAATCAGCATCGGCATCCTTGTCCACGAAGTAGTCGCGTTTGCGACCGAGCAAGTAGAGGCAAATCAGCATTGTCTCGCAATGGTATGTGCCTGAGAACTTCTTCATCTCGAGCGTTGGAGTCTCGAGTTTGGAAGTGGCACCAGAACCAAAGCCATAGCCGTCGGTTAGCAACCACTGTCGGATGGTCTGGACTTCAGCATTTGTGAGAAGTTCGCCCGGAGCTTTCTCGAACTCTTTCATATATTTGGTGAAGAACAGCCGTTTGTTCATTTGGCTCGTGGATGCTTCGAGATATCGGAAGTCGGCAGCGAACAGGTATGATTCATACTTCTTGTTGCGTTGCGGTCCGAAGCTGTTACCGCAACAACCTCGAGGTGACGGACGAGTAAATCTGCTAGATTGGCGGTGAACCTGTACAGTGGTGCGTGTCGCGAGGCTCGATTATTGACTTTGGTGTGGCCAGTGGAAGTTTCAATGTTGTTTGTCCAGGATAAGACTGTGGTGAGAAAGCGGAACTCATAAAGTTGATGCTCCGACAAGAATTTGTCTTCGCGTCCGATGTCTGATCGCGGTGATGCCATCCTGACTCAGATGGGACGAAGAAAGTGTGTGGTGCGAGGACTTAAGTGGAAGAATGTACCCCTTTATGCATCCCAAGCATTAAGATGAATATATAAGCAAGTGGGTATCATCAAAAAGGTGTCCAAGTCTGGTATAGCCCTCTAACAGTATCAAAAACGTCGTAAAATAAGAGTATTTGACATCCCAAGCATTGATTGCAAATATGGACCCTCTTGAATGGAAGCCGTGTTGGATGTGGTAAATTCTATCATGATCCGCGGTTCGATTTCATCGACCATATAGATGCAGAGGAAAAGCTGACTGGGTATGAAAGTCTGGTACCACCCAAACTCGCGAGCCTTCCCAGGATCGAACCTTGACATCAGAGCATCTGTTCATCCCTCGTCGAAGTCAAACAACCCGGCAAACTCTAACCCCTCATATTATGCAACTCGCGATCAACACAGTCAACCCGCTCAAACTCGTAGCGAAGATGCATGAGCACGAATCCTGTGAAGTCGCGGCTGCCGAGGAGAAGACGGCGCATACATTCCCCGGAGCGGTTCATATTCAAGATGCCGCCGTGGCCAAAGACTTCGCGCTCAATACCTACATCCAGCCTAGCTATCCTCGCACACTAGTCGTATGGGCCGATGGCAATGGAGGTGAACGCCTCGACGACGGCCCATGCACAGCAGCCATAGGCTACCACGACCCCTTATCTGGAGAATGGGAAGTACACATCACGGTGAGCCATCACCCTTCTTGGACTGAAGCTAGCCTCATCGCTATTCAGGAAGCTTTCCGTGCCGCTGCGGCGATGGCTGACCACATCGACCACTTGATCGTGTTTTCAAATGCAAAAGAAGTGCTTGCGAACCTTGGAAAGAGCAGCGATATCTCGTGGGGACGAGGTGAAGCTCTCGTAGAAAGGGTACAGCAGGCTGCAAAGAAGCTCATGGGAAAAGATGTGCAGGTAGATCTGCGTTTTGTACCAAACCGCACGAAAATTGAAGGTCATAGGCGGGTGCAGAAACTCTCCCGAAAGTACAAGAAGAAGGTCTTAACGGTGGCGCCGAAAGCACTCCTGGAGTACGACATTGATCTTCCTCCGATCAGACTGAAGCATCAGCAGCACAAGGATGCAAAAGAAGAGCTGGAGGTGTTGCTGCGCAGCTGCTTAGAAGATGCGAAGGCGGCAGGCAAAGTCGGACCTCGCAGCTCGTTGAAGCACGAGTGGAGATTCGAGGCACGTCGTCTACGAAGGGAAGCAAAGAGGGAGTATAGGAAGATGAGAGAGCGAGAAGGAAAGCCGCTGAAGCCGACAGATTCGGAAATTGCGATATTGCGGGCGCAAAAAGGACGTCCTAGGAAAGCGTCTGGAGAGCTGAAGGAGGAAGAAGATATTACCATCGACGCAGAGGAGAAGATTCTGGAATGGAAGGATATATACCAAGAACTCGCAGGTAGCTCGTGGGAAGATAGACGGCCACTAAAGAAGCGAAGCAATAGTTTCGTTGGAGTTTAGCAGAGTATGAGCGACTGTACATTCTTCGATTTCGATCTTCTTCGCAAGTACGTTTGGCTGCGTGAACCATGGGGGCTACATGCACGGCGAAAACGACTGTGGGTACAACTTGAACCGATGTCTTCTCCAGCCGGCTAGCAAGATTCGATAGTTCGTACGCGTACAGTGGGTAACACTAATCATCAAGCTCAACATGTATCTGGGTATACTCCGGTTGTACTATACACCCGTGCTTTCCAGCATGTCATTATTCACCGAAATTGGATATTGTAGACCCCGAGCGTACCCTTCCTGAACTACTGCTATCTTATCGGGAGATATGTGTCTTCATGTTTGAAGATCCGGAAGTCGATATCGGAGTGGCATAACGGTCCCGCCACAGCCTTCCTGCCGCCCACGGTTGCCTGCCCAACCCTCTTGGGCTGGCCTCTGTTTAGGATGATTTCCGCAGGCAGCAGTGAGTCATACTTCCCTTTATCATCATCAATAAGACGTGTGATCATGCTTTCATGCTAGTCGGTGGCTACGCGCCAGGCTACTCGACGCGACTGGTGAAGACACGGTGTCAGGTGCCTTGTACCTCGTACAAGAAACTTGGAAGTTGGTCACACAGGATGGCGCAAATCTGCGCCGTTGGGTGAGGCTATGGATCTAGTCTGTGGCACGCTAGGACGAGTGTCTCTTCTGCCTGCGCGGAGATGGTGAGAGGGCTCTCGTTGGTGTGTCGAGGTGACTCAGCCCTGGACCAAGGCGGATCATCTCGGCAGCCGAGGTGCGCTAATGGGGGGCGGGCAACACCGATGAGTCGTCAGCTCGTCGGGCGCTTGGCGCTTCTGGAAGGGGCGACGATGAACATGCAGCTGCAAACTCTGCTGTGAGCGTGGGAGGCGCGAACCATGGTCATCGCGCGCCCGCGAGACACCGTCGAATGGTCGCGGATGTAGAGAGCCGAGGCCAGAGGCGGATGCACGCGTTTGGCATCGCTTTGGGACAGAGGCCCGGCGTCATCAGCCACTGCGGTGAAGGGAGTGGAGCTGGGCCGTCGCAGCGCAAGGCGGCGATGTGTTGGCAGCAGTTCATTGCTGCTTGCGCCGTTTGCGTCATCGCGACGGGTTTGTGTGCCATGGCGATTGCGCTGAGGCATTTCCTGCCGTGTTTGCATCGCTGCTGCATCACGGCACCGCGACGACCGGCTAGGCTGCAAATGAGGGCGTCGCGTGCTGAGCAGCTGAGATTACGAGCGTCGCAGCAGCCGTCGAGGGGGTCGGCCGCAAATATAGCCACGAAAAGCACGGTGAAGGCACAAAATAACCCTTCCTGGCATGGCGTCGCCTCCACGTCCAATGGCGCGGCAGGCAATGGGAAGACGCGTCCTTGGCTCCCAGTCGGCCGGTCCCTTCATCTCAACATAGCTGGGAGGCAGAATGAGGGGGTGTAGCAGGCAGTCTGCGACTCTGGCGCTACCAGCGTACCATGGCACGGAGCGTTCGAGAGCAAACGCGCCTAGTGTGAAAGAAAAGGAGACGCCGTGTGTCGCAGCAGCTGGTCGCGTCGCAATCAGCGTGAACAGCCTCAGCGCGCGCAGGGAGTGGGCGGGTTACAGAGGGCCATTTACCGCTGCGCCAGGCATGGCGGCAGGCCGTGTTGGCATGCCTGTAGCCTTGGAGCCATGCGTGATGATGGAGCGTCTCACGCCTCACGAGGTGAGGGTAGAGCACCCGCAACTGCTTCACACAACTGCAGTGTGGTGGGGGCAAGAAAGCGACGTCGCTGCCCAAGCAACGCAGCTGCAAATCACGCACTGCCATGTCTGGCTGATGGCAAATAAAAAAAAGCCAGCGCGATGAGTCTTCCAAGGTTGGGTTGTGTGGCAAAGAGGCAAGCTGGCCAGTGCGCCCGGGTGCGATGACTGGACTGGGGGCGCTGTAGGTACGGGGTTCCTATTAGTATCGCCAGCGCCGCCCAGCCCGTCACCCTCATCAAGACAGCAGCAATGGACTTCACGAACATCTACAGCGCCCCCTGCGGCCTAATCTAGGACGCCAACCGCGAATAGTGTCGTCTGTTCTCTGTCGCCTACCCGTCTACCTACCCAAACCGACCCATTCCATCTTTGTCCAGGTAGCAGTCTCCGCATCGACCTTTGTCGCCGCCACACTGCCGCCTACCGCATAGACTCATCTCGCGCTTCCAGTCATCGTCGAGACGAGAGAGCCTGTCCTTTTATACCTCCTCGTCCCGTACCTGCGTCGCGATCCGACGCCCTCTAGTCGCGCCTTCCCACCTTTACCGACTTCCCGACCGCCACTTCCTCACACGTCAGACCTACACCTCCCAACTCCACCACCAACAGCTCTTATGTACACCAACCCCCAATAATAATAAAACAAACACCTGCAACAAACAAACACTCAAACACCCCATCGCACTCCCCGCGAACACGCGAAGTCGCTCAGCTTGGTGATCCCGTCAAGGTAGTCACCATCCTCGAACGCTTCCCACGTCGCACTTCATCACCACAATGTGCCATTCGGCCTACACTACTTCAGTCACTCGTCGCTCAGAATTCACCACCATTTCCGAAACCAAAGCCTTCGCCCAAGGCTTCGCTTGCTAGACCCCCGCATCCCCTCAGACATCCAGCTCTTGCGACAGCGCCCGCTGTTCAGTAGCTGTATCATCAGAGTGCTTCGCGGACGGTCTTCTACCACGGTCTTGTTTCGGTGATTCTGCAGTTGACAGTGACTGGAGCCCGCTCTAGTCTGCACCTGGCAGCTTTTCGACCACTTGACACTGCTCGAATCCTACTTCCACTTGCGACTCGTCAAACCCTACCAACCTCCTACGTATACGTTCCGCCTTCGAAACCTACCCTCTCCCAGCTCTTCAGACCGTTAGACCGCTTCCGTCACACCACGATCACACACGATCAGGCCACTTGACGGACGAGATTTCGCGATCGAGGAAAAGATCCCAACAAGGGAACAGCGTCTCGAATTATACGTCAGAGGTCACAGGGTTGTCCTCTACGGTTTGTCCCATCGGTTAAGTTCTCGGTCACCCCACGACCACCCGATCACGCTCTGCGCCACCCCTCCAGGTCTACCTAACGGTCAGCACTTCGAGACGTAACGACAAAGCCTAGTCCCATCTCCGCTCACTCCTTATTGTCTACCTTTCCTTACCAGGCCCCGTCCTGTATACCCCTCCTTCACCATGAGTCTTGCCATTCCTCTCCCTAGCCACGGCTACATGGCTGAGACCCACCCTTATGCCGCTCCTCTTTCTTCTTCCGCTTCCTCTTCCACCTCCTCAGTATTCTCAGACGCTGCGTCACAAGCGTCAAGCGCAAGCTCCACATCGTCTCACTCAAACTGGGACTCAGAAGAATGGAGTCGCAACCAAGTGGCACCGCCGACAATTGTCGACCCTGTGAGCTTGTCAGCTTTCCAGCCCATCAGCCGAGTTAGCACATATCCTCAGTACCAGTCTACGGTGTGCCGAGAGCCTGTACAGGAGAGATTACCTTCCCTGCGCACTGAGCTGTTGGCACCTCTGGAGCAGCGACAGAATCCTCGCCGATCGTCGACCACTGTCAACCAGAAGCCCCCACCTCAATTGGTACGGCAATCCGACCGAAAGGTCAACTTCGTCGATTGCCTCGTCGGTTAGTACACGTTTTATCCCTGGACCATGGTTCCCCCGCTGATTATTCCTCCTTAAGATTCCGCTACTCAGATGGTCGAGGTCATCTGGCAACTTTCAGAGCCCAAGAGCCGTTGTGAGAATGCTTCTGGACGTGGAGTGCTTCCTCTCCGCATGTTCATCCAGGAGACCCTCCGTCGCTCTCGCACCAGCTACTCTACTCTCCAAGTTGCCTTGTACTACTTGATCTTGATCAAGCCTCACCTGCCCAAGCACGACTTCACCATGTCCCAGCCTGAAGACGCATCTCTTCGTGCGCTGCAATGTGGTCGTCGCATGTTCCTTGCTGCGCTTATCCTCGCATCCAAGTACTTACAGGACCGCAACTACTCGGCTCGCGCATGGAGCAAGATCTCTGGTCTCAAGGTTTGCGAAATCAACACCAACGAGATGGCTTTCCTCGAAGCTGTCAACTGGAAACTGCACATCGTTGATTCGGTATGGGAGAAGTGGCAAGAAGTCGTCCTGCGACACACGCCTACCCTTCCTCCGCCATCACCTGGCGCTAGCATCCCCAACACTTGGAAAGATGTCATTCCTATTTTGACACCTGAGTTGGATATCGTCCAGTTGGCTCCCAAGAAGTCAGCAAACGCTCCCGTACGTCCTCCTCTCAGGCCTCAGTTGAACGCGTCGCCCTACCGCTGCCCATCGATGGATGGCTACGGATCGCAAGAGAGCACACCAACTCCATCTCGCTATCAAGTGCCTCGCTTCCTGGAGCCGAAGCCTGATCTTCCCCACACTCCGTCACTGCCATCCCTGGCTCGCTTGGGTCCACTACCAACCCCATCCTTGACCCCGCAATCCATCACCAGCAACACTCCTGCAGCGAGTGCCATGGCTTTCGGATCGCGCCGCCCATCGATGTGCACGGCAATGCAACAGGCACAGTGCTCCTCACTGGCACGCACCTGTGTAGACCAGTTCAACCCAAGCATCAGGAACGGACTGGAAGCTTACCACTTCCCAAGCCGACGACCTTCCCTGGCTCCTTCCAACTCATCTCTATCGTCCTCTCCAGAGTCAATGATCTCGGACAACTCGCGCACTTCTCGTGCTTCATCAATCTCGTCGGTCTCGTCTGCCGGCTGGGCGCCAAACCAAAGCCAGGCCAGCTTGGCTCGGTTGGCGACCTGCCGCAGCGCGAAGCTCCCGTACCCGGTTTTGTCGAAGTGCAAGGAGCAGTACGAGTATGCTCCAAGTGAGCCCATGTCCTCACCCGATCTGGACAGCTTCCATATTGATGATTCGGATTCGTCGCCAGGCAAGGTCGACAGCCCTGCGTGCGTAAC